GTACCGCCGTGTACTCGTACCGCAGCTCTGCGGTGCAGGCGGCGCTGCCGTCGCTCGAGCGCTCCCTGGCGGAGAAGGTGGCGGCGAAGAATGGCGGCGGCGCCTCGCTCGACGCGCGGCTCGAGGCGGCGGCGCCCCCACCCTCGCTGCGCCCGCCACGACATGTCCACGACACGCCCACGACATGTCCGCTACATGTCCGCGACATGTCCGCTGCCTCGCGTGCCCGCGTAGGCCGCAAAGACGGACCTCGAGCCGCGTCTCGCCGCCCTCAAGCAGAGCGAGTGCGAGGCGATGCAATCGCTGGCGCAGGCGGTCCTCACCTCGGTCGCCGGCGAGCCCGCCGCCGCCGCCGCGCCCGCGTCGGCCGCCGGCAGCGGCGAGGCGTCCGCGGCGCGCTGCGCCGAGCTGCAGTCGGAGATTGCAAAGCAGCAGGCTGCCGTGGAGGCGAGGGATGCGGAGCTCGCGTCGCTACGCTCGCAGCTGTCACGATTACAGCGCGAGGTGGCGGAGAGGGACGGAGGCGGTGGGACGAGCGGCCGGCGCGCGATCGGCGTCGGCGGCGGGCCGCAGGCGCAGGCCACGCCGGCCCCGCGAGTAGCAAGTGCGGCGGAGGGGGCGAGCGGTTGCCACGGCGCGGAGGTGTCGCCGCTCTACGCGCGCGCGTCCTCTCTCGGCGCCGAGGGGCTGGACAGCGGCGCCACGCCGCGGGGCAACGGGCTGCGGGGCATACCGACCGACAACCTTGGCCGGATGACACCGCTCGGGTTGGCGCACAACTCGTCTGGCTCTGGCGCCGACCTCAGCGAGCGCACGGGCGAGAGATGAGGCGGACCGCGCAGGTGGGGCGGGGGCTTGTGGGCTGAGGGGCCGGTTGGGCGACGGTTTTGGCGGGGCTGCCAATAGAGCGGAAGGGGCGGGCTAAGCAGGCGGCCGGGTTCCGCTGCGAGCGTTTGGGCCGTGGGCCATGCAATGGAGGGGGGCAGAGGGGGGGCATGATGGGTAGCGAGGGCTGATTAGCCAGAGGGCGTGCTCTGGTCCTCTGGACGACCGTGGACGCCACGACTGCCTGAAGTGGGCGGTACGGGTGGATGCTTTCTCTGAGGGCTAGTCTGAGGGAGTTTTGTTGTGTGAAATTCATCACTGGACACTGCCAAAATATACGGGCACGTGTGTTTTCTCACCGCGTTCCGGCGCAGCGGCACGGGTCCGGGCGCGCGGTCTGGCGCCGGTGCCGAGGCCGTGCTCCGGGGGGCCCCGGGCGGGGCCCGGGGCGAGACCGAGAGGACCGAGAGGAATTTGGGGACGAGAAAATTACAAAAAAGAGGTGCGGCCCCCGCGAGCGCGAAGTAATCAGTATCAGTAATATTCAAATATTTTCAGCCACTAACCGCCTGCGCGGCGGAAGAGAACTCGTACGACCTTCCGGCGGGGTGTCGGTCTAATAACAGCAGTCCAGCACCCTGCCAGACCACCTACTTCTCGCCCTAGGCCTAGCTCTCGCCAGCCGATCCGCTTCTCGCACTTTGGCCCAGACCCCCCAGAGAGAAGTCAGACACAAGGTCAACTGTTGCGGCCTGGCGGGGCGGCACGCGCCACGCGGCGGCTCGGCAGCTAACCGTGTCTGAACCACAGCGTGTCCCGGTCCATATCTCGTGGTGTTTCTCCTCTTATCCGTTACCATGTAGAGCAAGACCGAGGGCGGGCCCTTACCGCCCTTTCGGGCTCGGGCCGCCCTCTCGCCCGCACCTCTAGCCACGCTAACATCCTCCGAGCATGGCGCAGGCAGGCTTTTGCCTGCTGCAGGGCCTGGCTTGGTCCCTTGGAGCTTGGTTGGTTGGCGCAGCGGGCAATCAATGCCAATGAATGGTTGGTGGGTGGGCGGGCTCCTCCGCCGTGGGCGCCTTCGATTTTCTTGCTCGCTACCACCACAAGGGAACACGGGCTGCCGCTGGACAAGACGCACGCACTTTACTCGTGCCTCTCCGATTACATGTACATGTACATGTGGTAACTGACAAAAATTGTCACACGAGGCAGCTAGAAAAAATGAGATGCGGCTCGGACAGCGACAGCGGGCGCCCCAAACTCCAGGAGGGTGCAACTAGTCGAGGCTGACATCGCCATGAAGCACGCGGCGGTTTCGCACTCGCTGATCCTTGCTCTGGCGGTGCACAACGTCGTCTCTGGCAGTCCGATGAACTACGAGGTCACGACAATCCGGGGCGTTGAGGACGAGCTTCAGCCGGAGCCAGACCTGCATAGCCAGGAGCGGTCGTCCGGCCCCTCACTACCACTGCCTCGGCAACAGCCGCCACAGCGGCTCCTCACTGCCACTGCCTCGGCCGCAGCCGCCGCAGGGCGCGCCCAACCACACCCTTCTTGCCGCTTACACCATAGTGTCCGTACGCAGGAACCCCTTTTGCCAAACTCGCGCGGCACGACCTTCGCGCAGATCCCGGTGGACGATTCCGTGAATTATGTCCATACTGGAGTCTACACAGAAGCATTTGTAATGAGTTGGACAAACCTCTGCGAGTACTCCTTCCGGATCACCAACGGCGCAGGGCAGTGGATAAAAGATTCTCCAAAACCGAACCCTGTTGCGCCTCCACTACCAAGTGCAACGCTGAGTCCAGTGACAATTGGCAATGGGAGAACGTATGAGTACGTGTCGTTTGACAAGCTTTACATAAGCCTCATCGATAGCGCTGGTGGAGTCTACGCCAAAGTTCTACTCAGCATTCACACGGATGGAACGACTTACGGGCTTTGGGCGCAGCCTAGCTTCCTCCACTCGGATGGCAAGTTTTACGACTTCAGCAACGACTTCGACTTCGTTGTGGATTCCTCACAGGGCAAAAATGCAAAGGGTCGCCTGGATTGTGTCATTACGTGTCCAAAAAGGGAGATCGCGCACATCCCACAAACCTGGGCGTACTCGGGCTCGGCAGACGGCTACAGCACATGGGGCCTCGATTACGGTTCGAGCAATTGGGAGTTGGTCGGCGAGGCTGCGGTTCAGATAGGATATGTTGCCGGCTCGGGCTCGCGTGCTTGGCCGGTAGCGCTATGCGAGAGCATGAATAAGGACAACGCCCTCATTTTGGGCGAGGCACTGCCCCCGGGGTGTCAAACAGCCTGATGCACGCATCTGGCACTGCTTACAGCGGCGCGTGGCAGGTCGACATCAAGATTGGGTCGTCAGCCAAAACGGGCGCCTACTTCGTCGAGACGTTTTACCTCGCCGAGCGCCGAGTGCTCAAGGTCGGCCCCGACTACTACCTTGACGGGGCTCCACACGATACAGACTCTGAGTACGGCCGAGAGATTGACATCATGGAGACGCACTGGAAGCCCGGCGGGCCTCAGATCAACCTTCCGCTCGGAAAGAAGGCGAGCGGCGAGAGCACCGGCTGGGTCCCAAACCCCGAGGCGTATGACGCCAGCAGCTTTCAAGCTGGGCAGTGGTCCGATCTCGAGCAACGGTTCGGGAAGGACCCCACCGAGCTCTACGTGACATACGGGGCATTCATTGACGGGTCGAACAATCTCTATTTGTACGCCTACTACCCAACCGCGACCACGATTGCCGCCGACACGGCGCCAGAACAGTGGTATGTGCACGGCCCAATCCCACGCAACAGCTCGTACCTGCAGCAGGGGATGTTCGTGCCTTACATTGGGACCTGGACATACCACAACGACTCTTTCAAGCCATCTGGGACAGACTACGAGAACAACAACATCAAGACGTCGTACAGGAACTTCGTCTACAAGACGGTCGACGAGATCGGTCAAGGCCTCAATCCAAAGGATAGTCCGGGGCCGTTCTGGAGGGCAATGGCTAATCGCTCAGCCAGCATCGAGCCCCCGCCTGCGCAGGTCCGGCAGCCCGCCGTGCATAAAGGGATGTACCGCAAGCCATATGTGCAACAATGGGAGAACAACGCTGGGTTCGACTTAGTCGTCGCTTCTGGCGGAAACTATACCTCGCTCGATGGCAACGAAATGACGACTAGTCTGGCGCCAGCGCCTGGCACTGAAATCCTCCACACGCACATCAATCAATACTTGATTTTCGACTGGCTGGTACTCGATATGCTCGATGCTGCCACTTCCGAATTAGTCAGTACGATCCTCATCGAAATGTTCACCGATGGCACTTACATCTGGCCTCAGACTTCGATGATCTACCCGTATGGACACACGGTTGTCGGATTGTCCTTCGACTACGTGCCGTCGTCGTCTGACTACAGTGTGGAGAGTCCCTGGGGGCAGCGGAACTACTTCAACGTGACAGCTGACTACCCCTCCGCGGGAGCAGGCAACGTCGCCTTGTTTCAGCCTCCCACCTCCCTCCAGACGGCGTGGTCTGCCTTGTACAACGGCACAGGGTACGACCAATGCCCTCTCGGCACAGGCTATGTTCACTGCCCCGAGCTGCTCAAGTTGCGGTTCGGGTGTGTGGTAAGAGACCTTGCCACCAAAGAAGTCATCGATGCGTCTACTGCCATGAGCCTTACTGCTGTGTGGTTTGCCGCTGGCCGTCTTTGTAACGCCAGCCTCAGGACGGTGAGCCCAGGGCAGCGTCAGATATACGCTTCAGGGCTTGGCCGGGCACTCGCTGACCACCTCAACGATGTGTCAGCGCCTACACAAGAAGCTGACTTGACGCTAGCGGAGGACGTCACACAAGGGCCTTTTGGCACGTGCTATGGTTCGGAGTGCAATACCCTTTGCAACTATGGCATCGACTCAGACGGGAATTGGAAATTTGATTGTCCCACTATCCGCGCTATCACCAAGTTTGCATCCAAGGATACCTGGAACGAGTGTTTGGCTGCCACGTGGGCCGATATCCAAAAGCTGGCGACAACCGCGTTCGCGAAGTCGGTCATCTCGAGTAAAGTTACATCACGACTTGACGCCACCGTTGAGAAGTGGGCAAAGTATTTGGTCGAGTTCTGTCCTTCCGACGGCGCCGCGGAGCTAGACGATTCGCTGGAGTCCACACGGTGGCAGTCCCCGCAATGGCGCGAGGATTTGTTTCGCGAGAAATTGAGCGGGGCGGTCTCGGCAGTTGCAGCACAGTGCGTAGGAATCCCGATGTCTTTCCCCACTGACGGCGTGATCTCTGTTCCTTCCGCCTCAGACTTGTTCGACTATGGGGTGAGCACGGCCACCAACTTCGCGTGTACGCAGGGCTGCGACGTAGCGATGAAGGTAACGCAAGACACGCTACCCAAGGGCGTGTGTAGCAGTACGGAGAACATTTTTGCGTCCGCGGGCCTCGATGTCCCCACTGGGGCGGAGCTCTGCCAGCACCTCTGCTACACGGCCTGCACGACAGGGATGACAGACACGATTAACCACTTGATCGGACGAAGCAAGTGTTCGCCGGAGGACAAGGACAAGGTTGAGGAGAAAGTCGAGGAGGAGGAGGAGGAGGAACTTAATGAAGAGAACGATGCCGAGGCCGATAAAACAGTGGACTACAATGAGGAAGCCGACCTGGCCGAGCAAGAGCAAGCAGGTAAGGCCACCGATGAAATAGTTGATTCAATCGAACATGAGGTGGTTCCCGGCGAGGACGCTGTCACAAACCAAATAGAGGAGAGCTACCACGATGCCGCCAGCGCCGAGGATGCAGCGAAGGCAACAGAAGCACAAGAAGCTGCTGAGAAGGCGGCTGAGGAAGCCGCTGAAGCAGATGCTGCCGCTGGTGAAGAAGCAGCCGGTGAAGCGGCGGAAGCTGCAGCAGAGGAAGCTGGCGAGATTGCTGACGCCGTTGGAGAGATTTTGGATGTCGCCGGCGAGTTCATAGCTGGGCTCTTTGCGTTCTTATGACAGGAACACGGGCTCACCCGTATTATGACGTACCTCGCTTCGAGGTATGTGATTTTTTTCACACTGTGAATGTGATGTGAAAGCAGCACCCCTTTGTCCCGCATAGCAAAAACGATGGGGCGAGTTCTCCCAGCCTTTTTATTGAGAGCTTAATGAAAGCAAACGAACACATTGTCTCGAATTGTCTCCGTGGGAGCTACACGGCTTTACCTGGGAGCGACGAGAGTCGCCGGCAGTCCGCGTGCCGCCTGCCGGCGTACGCAGGCCAGGGCCACAGCCCACCGCGAATTTGCTACGCCTCCAGCCGGCGCCGTCGCGCCAGCGCGCCAGCCACGGCGGCCGCCGCCTCGCGTCCCTCGAGCTGCCGCCCACCGGCGAGGGCGGCCGCCCAGATGTCGCGCTCGCCAGCAACGAGCCGCTCCGCGTGCCGCCGACGAAGCTGAGAGGAGGGCGCGGCGGGCGCGGCAGTGCGCTGCCGCTTGGTGGGCAGCGGCGCGCCAGCCGCTGCGTAGCTGTCGAGGTGCGCGTAGATAGCGGCGCGCAGCACGGCGCGCTCCGAGATCTCGCCGAGTGCGCGCGGCGCCGCCGCCGCCTCGCTCAGCGCGGCGGCGCGCAGCTTGGCGGCGCGCGGTGCCGACGCGTCGGTGGCCCACGGCGGGAGGGGCGTCGCGCAGAGGAGCCGCAGCAGCAGCCGCAGCTCGCCCGGTGGCACGCCGCTGCGGTCGAAGACAAACGGGGAACCGAGCAGCGCGTGCCAGCAGCCCGCCGCGCGCAGCTCGGCAAGCCTGCGCCGCGCGGCTCGCGCACCCAGCGCCGCCTCGGCCGCGCCGACGAGCGCCCGCCATGGCAGCAGCGCCGTGTCGAACGGGTTGTCCTAAGAAGGCGGTGGCGGGGCGGTGGCGGGGCGGTGGAGGGCGGTGAGGGCAAGAGAGGCCTCCGAAGTCATG